CTACCTTGCCTACCTTCTTCGCGGGGAGGGGGGGATCGGATAGAACCGGCGTTCTGGAATCATCCTCCACAGAAGATGCAGGGTGCGAGCCTATCGATTTCCCCCTCGTTCATGACCTTTCTCTCCCCATGTACTAACTTTCCATAATCTTAGGAACTTCGGACAGGTCCCTCCAGAGGAAAATAATTGGCCGGCATGGACCTCAATGTCACCCCACGACACTACCTCCCTCCCATCGAATTCTTCGCATGGTCTCAGTTTCCAGGCTTCGGCGCCAATAGCGGCGTTGCTCTCGGGGGTTGGCGCACTATGCACCATTAGCTGCTCTCTAGAAGCCGAATATTGTTCCCCCCCCATTTCGCGACGGCACCATGCCCCCGTACGGCCGAAGGAGCAATGTCGCTATCTCGCTTGCTCTAACCGCGCTTAACACATACAGTTCACGATGCTGGTTCATTTTTGTACTTCGCCCCCTTTTGGCTCACGAGGTCCATATTACAATAGTTGATGGAGGTATCATTTGCCATGTGATTGAGCCAGCGGAAAAGCCAGCTGGCACGCAAATATGGCTCACTGGTTTTCCGTCGTTCTTGGCATACCCACATTCTGGTGGCTTTTGCGTCGCCCTTATGAGGTTGGTTTCTCTTTCATCCATCAACTCATTAATAATAGCAACATGAGGGGTTCACACCTCTCGTGATCGTCGCACCTAGACGGGACCTCTCCAAAGATGGGCCCGCTAGCATAACCTGCGTTTGAGTGTTCAAAGGGTATTGGATTCTTTCAATAGGTCTAGAGGCGGCTTTAAATTCGTTCCACATTCTAGCTTAACATGCCTGTTCCCAACGTACGTATAGAGTTACAAAGAACTATCTGAGCAGGTAATCAACCCGGCTTAGACGGTCTGCGGGCCGCACCGAGTTATGCCTTGCTAATTTAATCTCAATCTAACATGGATCGAGTCGGAGCTTTCATGCTGCCTGCCTGGCATCTTTCAAGGCAACGTAAGAGTTTTGATGCAACTTATCCCAGAAACTAGCCATGCCGGTCTTCTCAAACCGGTAGTGTGCTATGCATGCATGTATGTACCTGCGAAACTAGTCCCGGTCATGCCCCGACCAGACTCTGGCCCCTCCGCGAACGACAATTGCGAGAGTGTCACTTCTACCTGGGCCATGTATCCCAATTGATGGCTGCTTGCCTCACTCTGCTGCCTTGTTAGAACGGCCCTTTCGCGGTGGGGTTGACCGAGGTACGTCTTTCGCCTCCTTGAAGAGGGCGAGTGGTGACCGGTTTTGCAGCCGACCACAACAGACCAAATGCGTCCGCATAAGCGAATGTAAGTCAGGGACAACTACAACCCCAAGATCCATTGCCTTGTTTCCTCCACGCAATCCACCCAAGGGGGCGTGCAATAACACACTGGCTAATTGCCTGATTCCCATCGATCGAGCTCCCGGAATGGAAAGAGGATGGCGAGGTACATTGCTAGCCTTGGCTCTAGTACCTCAGCTCGTCCCGGGACCGGATACTGTGCGGCGGCCGCATTGACAGTTCAACCTGATCTTGTTCCTGAGAGGTATCAGATTCACTAAAACCTTGATCGCGCCGGGTCCTTGAACCAATCAGTTGGCCTAGAAGCCGCTTCGGCCCCCAGTGTCCGTCAATACTCGACGACACTAATTGCCGTGCCGCTTGAGGGAACCTATCTCGACATCAATAGACACACGTAATGGCGACTGGGATGTGCAGAAGCAAGTCTTAACGCAAGGCAAAGTAGGTGGCGTGCGCGCGCCCGCAGCTTGGAAACGCATCAGCATAGCCGATACGTGCAGCCCGGGGACTGGCTATCCTCCGGCCCTAGGATTTTCTCGATCTCGCGATATAGAGCTCTCGCATCATGACTCTCCGATTGTCAGATGCCACGTTGTTAGCGCCATTTAGTATTTTTATGGGTGTTGGTCAGCTTTTGAATCAAGCTGAGGTGGTGATCCTATCATCGACATGCCACCTCGTTGTGGCACATCCCCCCCGTTTACCCCAACCAATTGCCAGCCCGGCAACATGTAACAAACCAGTCAGAGAAGCTCCTCCCCGTTACCTTTTGTTACATTCTCACCTCCTCCGAGTCAGGCCAGCTGGATGCGAGGGCCATGTGATGGGATTGTTCGTGTTTTCAAGGGACATGTGATGTGTGTTGTAGGCTCGGTATGAAACGGGAGGATCTGTCCTTCACCAATTACGCCGAGCCGCCGTGCCGACTTTGTGTATCCCTGCTGATGCCTTGCGTCTTGGGGGCTGGGCCGGTGTATCAGAGTTTCTCGGCTCTGGGGTGCTCCGGCGAACAATTCCTTATTCGAAAGTTATAATGCTCGGAGTGTATCTCCGCTCTATAGTGACAAGTATAGAATGCCCGCCTTGTAATTGGGACAACTGAGAGTGGTACCTGCACGTCTTGCGAGCAGACACTCTGAGATCCTTGTAAGGCTGCGTGGGGAGCAAGTGTGGCAATGGAACTCATTGCTGGCGAGATGCCTATTTGCCTGTACACCCAAAGCCCCAGTTTCTTCAGAAAAAGCAAATAACTCGCCACTTGATGGGTACATCCAAAGCGTTCATGGGACCACCATGTTTGGTACCGGGTGTTTACCATTAGAACAAGACCAGCTTGACATCCGCGCAGTGTTAAGTTTCATCTTGGGTCAGGATGAACTGTTTTTCATTTGCTTGGGCCTGCTACTGCGCCCGCTGCATTGAGCGCATCGCTTCATAGATCTCATGAAGATGTATGTCTAGGAGCAAGTTTCGCCGTTCGTATATAGGCACCCCTCACGATCAGAGGAGGCCAATGTCCACCAGGAAAAGAAAATCCATGTATATATACATCTATGCGACGGCCCCAGTGCCATCGTTCAAACGTTCAATGATGTTTTCCCCCTCTTGTATAGGTCAGGGTGGTCAAACCTTGAGAATAACATGCCCTTCTATAGCCGCGCCTATTCAAATAACGGTGTGTGTGGACTTTCCTCACAACTTTCGTAAAATGATTCCTCTTTCATGATAGCCTAATGCACTACCCTCTCTCTTGGTGCCGAAGAGGTCCGGCAAAGATAGCTACCCGCGACTTTATGCCTTGGCTGATGACTAGAGAGGTATAATCATGGATGAGCAAAGAGGCGGAGAGACCATTGATCGATGCACTGCACCAAGAAACGCCAAAGAGCTCCCACCAAATCGGTCGTCGGCATAGTGAGGGATTCTGGGAGGCCATAGAATTGGATGCTAATACAGCTAATCATAACTCGAGTATACCCGATGAAGAAGTAAATCCCATTTTTGCGAGCCTTGCGCCGGCTGAGTGGCGTAGTCGGAAGGACAACAACCGCAGGCGCTGTAGGGACCGCCATATGAAAAGCCTGGAAGCTTTCAGATGCAATGCAGAGACCAGGTATTTGGAAAGCGATAGAAGGAGAATACCAAAAGATGATAACCCTCAATATCTCTAGGCAGTTGGGTGTTGTCCTTGTTGCATTGCTGCACCTCGCATGCGCTTATCAGTGGAAGTCCCCGCGAACTGTTGAATCTGAGCAAGACCGAGAGACATCAGCTGTTGGCTCGGGCTATCCGGGCTCATCTGGAACTGGCCCATGTGCTGCTGCTGGCTTGGTAGCTGGTGAGTCTGTTGTGGTGGCAAAGGTTGCTGATGTTGAAGATGCTGCAAGGGCTGTTGGGTCTGGACTTGTTGCTGAGACTGCAAGGCGCCTTGCTGCACCTGCTGCGTCTGTTGGGCTTGCTGAACCTGCTGAGGTTGTGGCGGTTGCTGCTGCCGTGGGCGACGGGCCCTTTGTTTCTGTACTGGACGTTGGCCCCGGCCAGCTTCGATTTCCATATGGCGCCTATGCTGGGCTTCTTGTCTCTTCTGGCGCTGGACATCCTCGTTCTGGATCGCGTATATTGCTGCGACTCTCAGTTGAAGCTGGGAAAGAATCCCCAATCGTTCGGGCGGCGACATTTTGCGGTACTCGGTCTTGAATAGTTGGAAAGTGTCTCCAGTCAATCGAAGCGAACTGGGAGAGACGCCCGCGATCTGAAGAGCCTCCGAAGTGTCTGGGTCTGGCTGCGGGCCGTCATTCTCGCCTTCGGCATCATTATCCCCCACTTCGCTAGTCGCGCTCGGTGTGGGAGGTTCGGGCGTGCCCGGTTCGTGGTTGTGTTGATCGCACTTGATTGTCAGGACCCAGCCTCCAAACTGTCTGCGATGAACAGCCTTTGCGTTCCAGGGGCAATTGGTCTTCTTGGTGGTAGATCTATGCTTTGTTGCCGTACTCTTATACGGTCGACCACCTCGATCACAAACAAGGTCGCACCGGACCATTCCAACAGCATCAGGATCGTCGGGGGTCATCAGCCTTCCCTTATGGGAACGCGACTTGACGATCTTGTAGCCCTCCTTCGTGACGCGATTGTTCAGCTCCTTTATCAGGTCATCGTAGGTGGCATAGATGCCCTCGCTAGGTGCTGCGACAGCCTCGAGGATGCCAAACATGGCTGAGGCAGACGGGCGCGGGCCGAGCTATGGGCGAGGTCGGATTCTCAGAACGGATGGCAAGAAGCTGGCGGGTGTGGATTTTCGTGTGGGCGGTGCGAGTCTTCGTAGGTTACCAGCTTGAGAGGTTTATTTTGATCGGAGACTAGGGGTGCGACACGCCAGCCTACCAGGTATTGGTGGTGGGGTGGGGTGGGAGGGTCTGTAGGGTAGCGAGATCGGCAAGCTTATCGTCCTGCTGATAAGCATTTGCTGGTGCACGTGAAAATGGCCACAGCTTCCTTCCTCGCAAGCAAGACCAATCTAAGGGCTGAGGCAAGAACGCCCAATTGAAGGAAGCAAGTGGATGGAGGACCGGGTTTCCTTAGCAGTTTTTTTTTTTTTTTTCACCGTCAATTAGCAGCCAGTCAATATTCAGCTTACTATCCATCCAAGGTCCCAGCAATTGTACACGATGTTTCCTCCAGGAACGATCCGGTCCCTCACTCCTCAGGATAATGATTCCCAATCCGTGGCCGGCGAATCATCTGGATATCCGTCACTGACAAGTTATGAGTACGATGACTCTGCTTCAGTCTCTCAAACAGTCGAGTCCGCCTCAACTAGACGCCAACGTCGTTCTCGCTCAGCCATGTCGAGGAGAACCAGTTTCTCTCGGACACCAACGTCGTATCTTAGCACACGGCCATCCACTACCTCTGGACGTAAATCTCGCGCAACCACAGTATCGAGTTTTCTCGGGACCGGTGACGCTCAGGACATTGTATGCGCGGTCAGCGAGGCGAGAGGAGTAACGCCTTCTGTTGGAATTGCCTTTGTGAATGTTTCCCTCGGTGAAGTGACACTCAGCCAGATATGTGACAATCAGAACTACTCCAAGACAATCCACAAGCTCCAGCTCATGTCACCGTCTAACATCATCTTTCCGTCAACCGTCTGCCCTCCCAACCGTCAGTCGGGCTTGTTTCAGCGAGTCAAGGAGACGATGCCCGCTTATCAAGTGGACGGATTTGATCGCTCCGCCTGGTCAGAATCAGATGGTGTCGAGTACATCGAAAACCTTGCCTTCTCAACGGATATTGGACCAATCAAGTTTGCCATGGAAGGCAAATTTTATGCCACGACATCATTCAGTGCAGTAGGTCTTAGCGAGTGACCCCTAAATGATGTCCAAATTAATGTATCAAAGGCAATGAAATACATCGAGCAAAACTTGGAGATCACGTTCGCTCACAATTCATTACGGATCAGCTACACTCCTTCAGAAGACACCATGATGATTGACATATCGGCCTTTCAATCGCTTGAAGTGATGCAGAATTTGCGTGATGCAAAATCCAAAAGCTGTCTCTTTGGGCTTCTTAACACCACACTAACACCTATGGGCAGTCGAATGCTACGAAGCAACATTCTTCAGCCACCCACAAACCAGGATAACTTCATCATTCCCCGATATGAGGCGTTAGCAGAGCTAACAAGTAATGAAGAAATGTTTAGAGACATACGTCAATGTAAGATCTCGCGTGGGCCTTCGTGCTTTTGAACAATTTTAATGTGTCATTTTCAGCATTGAAGGGGTTCCATGACGTTGAAAAGCTTCTAACAAAGGTATGCAGGCTGAGTGCGCCTCGAACACCGCTAACATGGCTGTAGTTGATAATCACCCCAACAGGAAACAACGTGTTTCTTGTTGAAAGTCTCATCAATCATGTGTTGATGGTAAAGAGTTTTCTCGAAGCCATTCCAGATGTCTTTGCGGCCCTCTCCTCTGCAACAAGTGATCTCCTTGTCAAGGCCAGGGGGTTCTTCAACCCCCATTCCGCCAACCGGATACTTCGAATCATTCGCGAAATGATTGAACCAGATGTGACTTACACGAAAACCGCCCTAGACCTCCGCAATCAACGAACATTTGCGGTGAAAGCTGGTGTGTGTGGGATACTCGACGTTTCCCGGCAAACATACAAGGAGCTCACTGAGGAAATTCACAAACATCTTGACGTGATCAGCGGTATTAGGCATTTCCCTTAGCTGGATGCAGCGGTAGCTAACAATTGAGCCAGACCAATACCGTCTAAGCATCAAACTGAAGTACGACAACGGGCGAAAATATTGGTTTCGACTTCGCGCTGCGGACCTCGATGGTCCGTTACCTCAGATATTCATCAACGTGCTCAAGAAAAAAGATCAAGTGGAGTGCCAAACCCTTGAACTCGTCAAATTGAATCTTCGGTTGTCAGATGCATCAAACGAAGTCGTTATGCGTAGCGATGAAATCATCTACGATTTGGTGAAGAAACTACGTGAGGAGGCCTCTGTGCTCTTCAAGATAAGCGAATCTATCGCACTCGTCGACATGATAGCGTCCTTCGCTCAATTAGCCACCACCCGAGATTATATTCGACCAGAAATCAAACAAACTCTTGCCCTGAAAGCCGCTCGTCATCCTATTCTTGAAAATGTATGAGCCTCCTATCCCCATCTTCGGAAGTGATATTAACTTGCCATAGGATGTAGCAACATCGTTTGTCCCCAATGATTATTACTCTAGTGAAAGCTCGTTTTGTTTCCATATTGTTACTGGATGCAACATGAGCGGCAAAAGCACTTATATCAAAACAGTTGCTCTCCTTCAAATCATGGCCCAAGTCGGGTCATTTGTGCCTGCTGAATACGCGGCCTTCCCTATCATCAATCATATCTTCGCTCGGGTCTCGATGGATGACAGCATCGAATCCAACCTATCGACATTCTCGGTAGAAATGCGTGAAATGGCATTTATTCTGAGAAACATTGACGATAAGAGTATGGCGATCATAGATGAGCTCGGTCGTGGAACAAGTACAAGGGACGGCCTTGCCATTGCCATTGCGATGTCCGAAGCGCTTATCCAAAGCAGAGCATCAGTATGGTTTGCCACTCATTTCATCGATGTGGCGCGCGTGCTGGCTGATCGCCCTGGAGTTCTGAATCTTCATCTCTCTGCGAAAAGCTCAACCACACGGGACGGCAAGCCACAAATAATCATGCTTTATAAAGTCACAAATAATTCGATCGATGAGGAGCAGAATTACGGGATTCATTTAGCCCGAGCGATGGGATTACCCTCATCCTTCATTGAGACAGCCGAGCAGGTGTCCAATGATTTGAGGCAACGAAGAGAAGCCAAACAGAGGAGCTCCGAATCGAGCAAGCTCAATCACCGTCGTCGGCTGATCCTTCAACTTCACGAGGCTTTGAAACAGGCCAGAGACTCAGGAAACGAAGCGGTACTGCCAGGGTATCTTAAAAGACTTCAGGAGGAATTCATTGTCAAGATGGGGGAAGTTGAGAGTATGTGATTTTGATGATGTTCAATCCGAGCCACCGACTTAATCGTTCCTTTCTAAACAAAATACGAGAAGCTGAACAAATTAAAGAGAGACAAGGAGAAATCGGGTTGGGACAGTGTGCCTAGGATGTTGAGCTACCCGAGAGCGAGAGGAAGTGGATGTGTATCTCATGAGCTTTGACTTAATTTCGTTTTCCCGTCAGCGATAAACATATTGTGATACTAACTAAGAGCTTAGATCTCTGGAAAAAGTGCACTATTGAAGTCGTCCCCCCAAGACGCAGCATGTGTTGTGACGTGTCAAGTTGTTTGGCTGAATTGAAAAGGGTTTGATGACGAAGTGCTGCGCGTGCTGAGATCCCCGAGATTACGGAGTGCCACACCAAACAACGCCACCGAGCGCACTGTGCTGAGCCACAAAACGCCACACGTTCAACGTAGCTGCGCCACATTTGTCTGCACGGGGCGGAAAAACATGTGCCCTCCCTTACTGGAGCAAGCTCTCTCCTAATGCTACAGAGGCCAGACATCACTTAGCAAATGCAAAGAACGACTCCAGCTCGCGCAAGAAACAACTCGCACAAGGGACACCAAAGTCGCCCAGAATGATGGTATGTGGCGATTGACCTGCCAGTGATAAAGCATCTAACATAGGGTGGTATTTGTTTAGTCGGCAATTTTCAACCTCCACTCGATCATCCTTGTGCTTCTCTTGGCCATCTGCACTTCAACATACGTTCACGCGATCTTCCCTAGAATTCTCGATGCGAATAAGGATGGGTTAGTAGACGATTACAGCCCACGAAGCCCGCTGCGATTCTGACAAGGGAGCATAGTTCATTAGGCATATTCTGGAAGTTCGCACGAATCGGCGAGCGGCTAAGTCCCTACGTTAGCTTAGCTTGCGTGCTGATGGCGGTAGGTTAATGAAGGTGGCTTTGCGACGTGTCCACTGGCGAGCTAACAATTCACAGGTGTCGATGCTCTTCTCATGATCATACTGTACGATACTGTATATACAAGCCTTTGCCAATTCGATCCAACGTTTGCCGTATTGTCTTGTCGAAGTTCGCTCTCTGTCTGTGGAAAAACTGCGCCGGTCGCCCACACATGCCTTGTACATGCTATAAGGGGTTGGGATTCAAATGAATATCCGAGACTTCACCTCGATACTGGAAGTCATGAGGACCGAGCTCAACTGATGCGCCGGCCCCGGATTTGACTCTGAAGGTTCAGGTGTTCATTGCAACCAAACTTGTCCAGCATGAATGCAGCCCGTGGATATTGTCGTGTCGCGAATCTCGAGGATAAGCAAAAGCATCTTCCATCCTAGTCGAGCTGGGCCGGTACGAGCTCTAAGAGGAATTTGTTGTCATTGAGATGGGTAGTAATGGAGGTGGCATGGATTATACACTCTGAACAACGGAGAGAACTGGCTGGGACAATGAATGTGGATATACGGCACCCTCACCGCCATCCACATCAAACGGTGAACAAGTGGGTGCCACGACGTGGCGTGTGCGCACAGAAGGAGACAAGTCCCTCACGGGGCGATCTGTAGGAGCTACGGTATTGGGAGCACATGGCTGGAGGGCGAAAAATGGCGAAGTCGATAGAAGGACATGGTAGTAATATCAAACTAATGCTGTATTTTTAAGGTTCTGGTCTGGTATGGAGATGGTTCTCTGGGATCCACAGTGAAACGGAGAGCAGGCAAAACATGTCATCGGGTTCCTGGACTGAGCCTGATTCACATGGAGGGCCAGGTTGCCGTACAGCACTGACTTTGGCTGCGTCAAGCAACGCACTCGGTTACGTAGTGCATTGCATCGCATTACCCACCTTGGAACCAGAGCTAGGCTGGATCTAGGGAGCAGTGTGCTACCGTGTGAAGGAGCACTGTGGCATTTGCCTTATGAAACTGCACATGAATCGAGTGTGTCTGCTGCGAGGTGGCTGCTGCTGATGAGGCCCGAGGCAGGCAGCCGCCCTGCGGTCGATTTGCACAGGGGATCTACGCGGCACTCGCAGCCAGCTGAGCGGTGGCCTTGGCACATGAATCCAGATGCCTGTAGAGGGTGGCGCAGGAGGGAAGCTCCGGATTGCCACTCGTCCTACGCCAACCAAAAGCCGCGCAATGCAGGTGATGGCGCCCAACATGGAGCAAGTGCGGGTTGGCAGTGATTGGGGAGTCGCTGATATAAAACACGTTCCCCAGGCCGGGCTCTCTGACGTGACTGATTTTTTTTGTGCTCCCCGTATCTCACACCCTGCACCTTGCCCTACAGTAGATGACCCGAACTGCTGTCCTGCCTGATACTGGCTCCCCATCGCTGATGGGCTCACTGTCCGTCCCTCCTGCAAGCCCCAAAGCTGCGCCCGCATTCATTACTGACCCTCTGCCTAGTCACAACATGGAACCGTCCATCGACTCTTCCCTCGCTACCAACGGGCTGGCTGACGAGCAGCGAGGCTTGCTGGACCTTGTTGACAAGCTGCAATTTGCCCAACTTGACAATGTCAGGCTCCCCCAAATCGTCGTTGTGGGCGACCAGTCCGCGGGAAAAAGCTCCGTTCTCGAGGCCCTGAGCGGCACTCCGTTTCCCAGAGATGCAGGCGCCTGCACTCGCTTTGCCACAGAAATCCGCCTGCGACGGGCAAAGGAGCCGTCGCTCAGAGTGTCCATCATTCCGGACAAGACCCGGCCGCTGAAGGAGCAGCAGGCACTGATGCAGTATGGCGGAAACGTCACTGGTGATTATCCTTTTGAGACGATGATGAGGGACGCGACAGAGCTCATTGCACCACGAAATATCCCCGGACGTTTCGCTGCCCGCGATATCCTCGTCGTCGAGAAGAATGGCCCCGAAATGCCACTGCTCACCCTCGTCGATCTGCCTGGTCTGGTCCGTGTCGCCAATCGCGATCAGTCGGATGCCGACATTCAAACGATTGAAGCTCTGTCGGATCGGTACATGAAGAGCTCCCGCACCATCATCCTCGCCGTCGTCGGAGGCAACAACGACTACGTGCAGGCTCCCATCCTGAAGAAGGCCCGCCAATTTGACCCAAAGGGCTCACGAACCATCGGTGTCTTGACCAAGCCAGATATGACAGAGCGCATCGGCCTGGAGGACAAATTTATCGAGCTTGTTACTAATAAGGACCCCGAAAACCACTTCAAGCTCGGCTGGTATGTTCTCTTGAATCCGGGCCCTGCTGATGACTGGTTCACTCCCGAGGAGCGCCTCCGCAAAGAGACCGAATTCTTTACTCGTGGAAAATGGGCGGTCCTCCCCCCTCAGAATTGGGGAATTGGTTCGCTCCGACAGAAGCTCAGCACCCAGCTCCAGCGCCACATTGGCAAGCATGTCAAGTCTTTGAGGCGACAGATTCAGCAATCTCTCGAGCGCTGCGAGGCTCAGCTCAAGGCTATGGGAGCCGGCAAGGACACCATAGAGGAGATGCGGTTTGAGATGGGTGAGCTCTTCACCGCCTCGAACAATCTCGTCACTCCTGCGGTCAACGGTAACTACAAGAACCCTTTTGGCGAGAAGTTCTTCTCCCGACAATCGAACCCCAAATCTACGCCCTCGCAGAAACTCCGAGCTCGTGCGCGAGAAGAAAGCGATCGGTTTGCCAGACGATTCCGCCAGCACGGACGCGGTGTGATCTTTGGCACCAACCAAGTCCCTCCCTCCACCGACAACGCGTCGCTGCCCTCGCCTGGCCTGCTTATGGACCCGGCCAAGAAGGCTTTTGCACAGAATGAAGTTGAGCCTCTTCTGCGACAGATCCGTGGTAACGAACTTCCGCTTGATTCCAACCCCCGAGCGCCTTACATTCTCTTCCAGGACTACTCTCGAAACTGGCCAATTCTTGCCCAAGAGTACAAGGACAACCTGGGCGTCATTTGTAACGAGTTCCTCGCTGATGTCATCGACCATGTCTGGCCGATGCGCATGCGTGATCCTTTGCGCTTCCACTTCCTTGAGCTCAAGATGAAGGAGCTCATGGATAGTGCTGACAAGGAACTCAATCGACTGACGGATGACATGGAGCTCGAGGTGCAGCCTTTCGACCCTGAGTACGAGGATCGTCTTCGCAAGTGGCGCGCTGCCATCATCGAGAACGGCGGTTCCTACACCGAGGCTGAGGAGGTTCTCGAGAAGATGTTGATCTACTACGACCTCACCGCCCGCATCTTTGTACGCAACGTCATCACTCAGGTTGTAGAGCGCCACCTGCTCCTCGGAATGCTCCGGCTGTTCAATCCTATTGAGATTCTGCGCATGTCGGATCACAACATCGAAGCCATCGCAGCCGAGAACAAGGAGACACGCGAGAAGCGTTTGGCACTGAAGAAGCAGAAGGAGGCCATCGAAGACGCAAGGAACATCTGCGCAGCCCTTGCCATGCGGAGCGAGCTTAGAGCTTACGAGGACGAACCGGAGGACGAACCCTCAGATGATGATGGCTTACGAAGACAAGCGTCATCAGTTGGCTGGCAGTCCAGCGCTCAGTACGCCCAACGACCGGCGAACGAACAGCAATCATCTCGGAAGCCAGTGTCTTCCAAACGAGAGTCTGTTGTCCCTCAAATCCCTCAAACACCGACAAGTACCCGTGACCTCCAGGATTCATCCTGGGACCAACCAAGTCACACCAATGGGGGGTCCTCGTCCAGTTATGCCGCGCCGGCCAACGAGAAGCCTCCATCCCATGCACCTCCTCCACCACCACGACCTTCCAAGGTCGGCTTCGACGAGCAGCCTGAGCGTTACTACGAATCCTCGTCGCCTCGAGGAGAGTCGCACAGCCGCTCTAAGGATAGTGCCAGGTCTAGACTCGCGTCGGCCATGAGGATGGGCTCGCAGCCCGCCTAAGCGTATGAGCACAATTGTTTGGAATAGAGAAATGGCTCTCATTACTGAGCTTTTTCAACATGGAGTTCTAGATGATGAACCGTCGATGAGGCGTTGAGAAGGAATGACTTGGGATACATTATCGTTTGGTTTGAATCGTATGGTGCGCACATGGGAATAAACTGTTATAACTTCTTACGATCAATGTATAGATAGATAGTCTTTGGTAGCGAATATTTTTTCAACATTATATCCTTAACTGATTTATACCTACTCGCTGTGTAAATTGCCGGTTCAACATAAGCTTTGCATAACCGTCTTGACAGACACTCGACGTCATTCATAGGCCAAATCGGCCCTATATTGCTCTTAATCGACTGCTTTTGTTGGCACAGCCCGTTGATTTATGTAATGACCTTAAAGATAAAATTGCAATCCAGTTCTCTTTAGACTCTTGGCTTCTCTGGGTTCAAAGCAAAGCCTCATGTTGGGCTGAGGACTTGACATGTGCAGTCAGCCTTAGCGGAAATGATTTGACCTAAAACTTCCATGCTTGGAAAGAAAGGCGAGAAGGTTGGCCTGGATTGTTTGGTGGTTGGTTACTTGGTTGCTGACTCACTGCTTGTGATGGTTGGGTTGACTTACACTGGACGGGGTCTAGGGTAGGTCGGGGTTAAATTAATCAGAGTATTATTCTGAATAGTATAATTAGATTATCTTTAGACTATATAATATAAGTTACTATTAATATATAAGTATTATAGAGCTAGTAATAATAGATATATAGATAATTATATTAATAACTATCTAAAGGGTATTCTATCTAGTAAAATAAATATATATATATACTAGAGGATTATTAATACTTAGTAATAATCTATTATTCTGAATTATTAGAATTATTATAAGATTCTAATAATCTACTAATAATTAATTAGATAAAGTAGGGTAATCTATATAATTTTAATATATAATAATATAATTTATAATATAAAATTCTCTCTCTATTAGTTATATCCTTAAGACTATATTTTATAATCTATTAGTAAGTTTTTTCTAATTTAATTCTATATTTCCCTTATAATCTATAATAATATCTAACTATATATAAAAAGCTTTTTATAAGAAGATTTTTTAATATAATACTCTTATTAATACTATTTTATTAAATTCTTTAGTAATATAATTAGAGTATAATTATTATAAGTCCTATAGTTATAAATACTTTAGATTAAAGAATTCTTTATTCTATTATTTTTATTATATTAAAAATAATTAATTATATTATAATACTTAAGATCTTATACTAGAGTAGCTAAAGTATATTACTAATTAGTATAATAAGCTGGAATCTAAGCTAGAAGTAGTAGAAAAAGAGTATTATTATATAGATATAAAAATCTAGTATCTTTATTAATAAAAGAAATTATAATTAGATAAGATAATATAGATAATATCTTATAGTATTAATAGTATAGAGAAACTAGAGTATATTAAGTAAAAGAAGATAGAGGAGGTAGTTTAAAAATAAATCTTATCTCTAGCTATATCTTTATCTAAGCCTATATTCTTAGAGATTAAAATTAATCTAGTATTTCTTTAGAAGAGTATAGAACTATCTCCTTCTTAGTTTATTAGAATAGATATTTCTAATCTTAGTAATACTATTAAATAAGCTTCTAATAATTCTTTAAATACTTAATAGGTTTCTAAGTATTATTATTATTTATATATTCTTTTTATTTAACTAAGTAGAATATCTATTTATTTCTAACTTCTTTCTTTAGAACTTTTTCTAATTTAAATTCTTTTTTATAGATTTTAATTAGATAATCTTAATTTAGTATATTATCTAGTACTTTTTTAAGTAATAAGATATAAAAAACTAGATAGATATATATTATATCTAATAATAATAGTCTATAGTTAGTATCTGATTTTTTCTTAAGAATTTTAAATAGTCTAAGTTTTTTATAGTTTAATTTATTACTTAGTTTTATTATTATAATATTTTTATAAAGTAAATAGATCTTATCTTCTTCCTTTAGAATTAGTTCTTCTAATCTATTTTTATTATAATATTTTTTTATTCTTTCTTAGATAAATTTAAGTTCTATTTTTATTTCTATATATAATAAGTATAGGGTTTCTTTTATTAATATAGTAGCTAGTATATTAGATCTATTAAGTTCTAGTTAATTCTAGAATTATAGTTTATAACTATAATTTATATATATAGATATTAGCTAGATAGATTCTTATACTAAATTATTATAAGTAATTTATACTATTAGTAGTAGTTATATCTAATTATCTTACTTATAGTTAATATATACTTATAGATATTATTCTAGAGTTTAATTTAATTATTCTATTTAATTATTACTTTATAGGTAATAAACTATTAAAAGCTTATATTTAGTATCTATTTATACTATAAGTAACTATTAGAACTTAAAGATAAATATTATTTCTCTATCTAATATAATCTTATTAGATAATTTATAGTAATTAACTATATATTATAGAAACTAGTATATAAAGTCTTCTATAGAGTTTACTTTCTTATATAGAATAAAGTATTTATACTTTATAAGTCTATTAATAACTACTAGAATACTATTATATTCTACTCTAGTTATAGATTCTTTAGATTTTAATAATTTAATAATATAATTAAAGGATATTAATTATTATAGTTATTCTAATACTATAACTAGTTTAAGTTCTCTATAGGGTTTATATTATATAGATTTAATTTATATATAAGTATTATATTCTAAAACTATAGTCTATATATCTTTTTATAGATTTAGATAATTATAATATTATCTAATCCTATTAAATATTTTCTTAACTCCTTAATATCCTAAGAGCAGATACTTATAGATTTTTTTAATAAGTACTATTCTAGTATCTTATTATAGTTTTTCTAAGCTAGAAATAATTTCTATCTAGATCTTAGTATATATTATTTCCTTAAGTATAGCTCCTAGGGTTTTCTATACTAAGTATTCTTTATTATTAGTTAAAAATAACTATTTATTTATTTTTAGAACTACTTTCTTATATTTAGATTTTTAGCTAAGAGTATTAGCTCTTTTATTTTCTAATCCTTTTTAATATATAATTTTATAATTAAATTAAGATAGATATTTAGTATAATATATTTATTTTCTATTTAATTATTATATTATAATAAAGTATTAAATATTCTTATAATTTATATATATCTTAATCTTATATATTATTCCTAAGTAATAGTATTTAAATTCTTTAAATATATATATAATAGCTATAAATTCCTTATTATAAATAGAGTAATTAAGTTCTATACTATATAGTTTTTTTAAGAAGAATACTATAAGGTATAGTACTTTATTATTATTCTTTTAACTAATTTATATACTAATTATAAAGTCTAAGATATTTATTTTAAGTTCTACTTTCTTTATAAAATTAAATATCTATAGTATAGATTCTAAAAGTATTTAGTTTTTTATTTTATTAAATACTTATTATTATTTATTATTCTATTAGAATTCTATTCTCTTTTTAGTAATATTATATAAAGATATAGTAATTTTTCTATAGTTTTTAATAAATTATTAGTAGTAATTAGTAAATCTAAGAAAAGCTTATACTTTCTTAATAGTTTTTAATACTTTTTACTTTTTAACTATAATAATTTTATTTTATTCTATCTATATTTTATTTAGTTAAATAATATATTCTAAGAAGTTAACTTCTTATTTATAGAAGAAACTTTTTTCTAATTCTATAAGGAGTTTTACTTTTTCTAGTTTTTCCAGAACTTAGTATATATATTTCTTATATATCTCTAAGTTATTAGAGAAAATTAAAATATTATTAAAATAAATAATTATAAAGATATTAAAATACTTTTAGAGTATTTAATTAATTATTTATTAGAATATTATAGATATATTTATTAGTCTAAAAGATATAATAAGATATTTATAAAGATTAAACTTTATTCTGAATATTATTTTCTATTTATTTCTTTTCTTAATTTATATTAGATTATAAGCTCTCTTTAGATCTAATACTATAAACTACTATTTACTCTATAACTAATCTCTAAGTTTAGTAATTAGTAATAAGAATATTCTATTTTTTTATATAATCTTATTTAATTACTAATAATTAATAACTAAATAGAGTTTATTATTCTTTTTTAATATAAATATTATAGAGTATTCTATAGATAAAGTTAATAGTTATATATAGTCTTTTACTAATATATTATTAATATATTTATAGAGTATTTATAGCTAAGGTTCTATAAAGTTATATAATTTATAGAAATCAGATTTTCCTTTTTTAATAATAGAGATTTTATAATCCTACTAGCTATATTTTAGTAGCTCTATTTTAAGTTCTTCTATAAATAATATTTTCTTAAAATAATTATATTTCTATAGAATATTCTTAAAATATTTTTTCTATTTTAGATATTTAGCTTATTTATACTTATACTAGATATCTTTTTTCTTATTCTATTATACTTTTTATTATTTATTTATTTAGCTTTATTTCTAAATTCCTATACTAAATAATTTTAAAAGTAGTTTCTCTATTTCTTTTTACTATTAGTTATATTTAATCTTATATTCTTATTATTATTCTTTAGTTAATTATTCCTAATTAATTAGTACTAAATCTATATTTAAAGATAGTTCTTACTTCTATATCTAATCTAAGACTTATATTATTTATCTTAGTTCTTATTATAATAGATTTCTTATATTATTAAGTTATAGTACTATTAAGGTTAATACTACTATATCTACTTATTATTATAAGTTATTATAGTTTTTTATAGTAGTACTTTTAAATATTAAAATATAAGTATATCTTTCTAATATCTAATAAAATTTTAATTTTTATTAATCCTAATATTAATATATAAGAGTATCTCTTTACTCTATCTAGTTAGTATACTAGTTAATTAGTAAGTTTATATCTTAAAACTATAGTAACTCTAGTATAACTTTATA